CAGCGGTACAGTGTGTTACACTTTTACACGGGTGCTGGGTTACACAGGACTTCTCATTCAGATGAAATCAAAGAGAATAAAGAGCTCAGAGAGATGTTAAAACTTCCAGGTGTTTAGATGTACTGGCCCAGGGCAGAAGAAGAGTCATTCTTGGGGGCTGCTGTCCAAGAGCTTTTGTCCTCCAGTTATCGAAGGTCGTCCTTAAATGGTAACCATTCATGCTCGTCTCCCCGCCAAAAGAGGGGGAGAACTAATGAGGAAAGCATCTAAAAAAGCCTCTGGATTGCAGCCACCAGGAATAGACTGTTTCCATTTGGCATAAGGTCTAGACAATGCCAATCTGGGCCAGATCGCTCAGCTCCATGTCACCAAACGTCTCCCATGGGCAGATGACCTCTGCACCTGCAGGAAAGGAAGCAGAAGTCAGTGGCTCTTGTCTTTATTGACTACTTTAGAATGTCTTGCTGCTCATCAGTTATTGCTTTGATTGATAGTTACCTCCAAGGTCATCCATCCCGGGGAGATCATTGAATCTAAGAAAGTGACAGAGAGTGAAGTTAAGATGTGCCAACTCCATTACTCTACCATTGTAATCAAGCCTTTGCACTGGTCTTGTGCTTTCTCTTTTCTTTAGACTCACCCCTTCTGTCCAGCTTTGGGAGCCTTGCTCTTGAACTGCCTGGCCTCCTTCTGCGTGAACTTGGGGGGGCTGGGTTTGGAGCCTTCGGGGGCTGTGGCTGCTTCTGCGTTCATTTCTATAAAAACAACAAAGATTCAATGATATATCAAATGAAAAAGAAAAAGGAGAAACAGAACAGAACATATACTGTGTTAGGTTGTTGATGATAGTTTAGCTACTTCATGCTGCAGTCCCTATCCTCAATCCCCCAACCTTTAATTGTTTTACCTCATATGCTTCCTATAATTGGTCCTACTTATCTTATCCCTATAGTCTTCTGTCTTTCAGCTGCTCTGCAAAACCTTCAACCAGCAGTGGAACTAGTATTGAGAAGGATGTCGGCTGGTGCATAATCAAAGTGGGCCGACAACAAATCTCTATTGTTTGATGACTAATTCTGGGCGGAGCAAGCAGCCCATAGCCGGTCCTTCTGGCATTTTCCAGATTTCCAGATGGCCAATCTGCCACTAGTTACAGGGAGTGCATCAATTCATAATCACCTCTAAACCTTCAGATGGGCATTTTTACATTTGTGTACAGATTAAACAAATTGAATACATGTGAATTGTTGAGCTTTAGAGGTTTTGGTATATGTGTTATATGTTTTAACCATGCCAATTGTTTTCTCCTGCTTCCAATCTTTATGCTAAGCTAAGCTAATCATCTTCTTTATCCAAATCCATGTGTGACACACTGACATTAGAATTATATTAATCTTTCCATCAAACTCTTGGAAGATAAGAAGGTAAACAAATAAGCGTATTTCCCAAAAGGTGAAACTTTTCCTTTCAGATTGAAAGTATAACAAGAAAAACATTCAAAAAATATTTTGCTGAACCTTTAAAGTAAAGCAGCATCAGTTTAGGGTTTTTAAATAATAACTCAGCAACATCAAACAAGAATGAAAATAAAAAACAATAATGAATAATTTCTTTCCCTCTGAGACTTACAGAAGAAATGGAACAATAAATAATGTAAAAAACAATAGAAACTTTGGATTAACTTTTGTCTGGTTGAATAAATATTTAACACAAGATAAATAATGCTCCAATGGAAACAATTAAAACAACAGTGAATGATGGTGACTCTATTACTGTATGCAGAAAACAACAGTCCCATTGATATTAACACCAGTTCAGCAGCAGGATGCATCCAGTTCGATGTTTACAACAACAACAATTCAGCTCTAATTGTCATTTTTATGGATTACATTATAATTATTTTCTGCAACTCATAAAAATTGACTTATCCACATATAAATATATGTTTTTATGCTGGTTTTACAGTCAATATGTAATCAATTGTCTCCACACAAAGAGCATGTTAGCTCAACAATCTGTCATCATGTCTAATTTCACAGCAACATGTTAAAAATAAAGAGGAATTATTGCATTCTGTACATCTGGTGAAAATAACCTCTTTTAATAATTACACACAGAAACTATGCACAAAATGCATAAAACGATTTCTGCTTTAAATGTCCCTTTATAATGCACATTAAAAATAACTGCAGTCTGCTGCTGTGTGCTGAGAGTCTCACCTGCGTGGTAGTTTGGTGGGAGTTTGGATCGGTGAAGAGAAGCTGCCTGGAAGGGCTGAGCAAAAGAAGAACTGCAAAACAAAGAGAAGATTCTCTTTCTTCTTGCAGTCTCTCTGTCATGCCTTCTCCCTCAGTCGCAGTGTTTATATACCTGCTCCGGTTGCAGACAAAGCCCTTGATGAAGTTGAGATGAAGTATTTTCAGAGATAATCTGATGACTCATGAGAACAGCTCGTACATGTGGCGCTGCACGTTCCCCTGATTGTCTGTGAGTGTTTACCACACACAAGTCATCATGAGTTCATCATTTAAGTCATGTTTAATATGTGTAACCTTTGATTACAGCAAGGAAAGACTGGATAAGTGTGTGGTAGATAATGAGATGTAAAGAGAATTAAAAGATGTCCCATGAAGGAAACAAACATAACTTAATTATCCCAAAGGTTTTGAGTCACCCATGAACTCCCATGAATTAAACTCAACTCAAAATCAGTTGTTGACGTAATAACTCGTAATAGTTGTTTTGAGTGAACTTAAAATTGTGCAGTATTTAAATTATTAATGATTTAATTCCAGTTTGTTCCACTGAGTCATTTTCTCTAAGTTGACTTTATATCATTATAAAAATAAAGGCCCTGTAGCCCCAAAATTTTGATAATCAATTCATTGTAAATTGTTTTTTATCATATGTCAGCTGTTTTGACAGGTAATGTAATAATTTGCTTTAGTGGAATAAATGAAATTTAAGTGGTAACAGTTGTATAAATAAGATGCATTAAAAGTCTTACTTTTTTCAGATAAATAACACATTTAATAAGCCTGGAGAAATGCTGCATATGAGTGTAACATACTTACTAGTTTCAGTTCAATGAACTGAATGACATTGTTACCTTTACAATAAATACTTGAGTCAAATATTTGTTCATGCCTAAATTGTTGGGGTTAATACATTTAAGTGGTTTAAGGAAATCAGTTTCCACAAACAATTCAAATTGAATTTACTCATCTGACTTTACAGCGTATGCATTGTACTGTAGCACAGATTAGACTAGATAACACCACATTAGATTAGATTACAAGCAATTAGATCCGTCTATAGATTAGAGTACCTTGGCACACACTATGGGAGGCAGATTAGGACACATACTGTACTGTCACTTTTCCTCAGTGAATGTCCACACTGATTGTTCAGAGTTGTAACTTTCTGTTTCAGCTTTTATAGTCAGCTGAGAGTGAGTGGAGCCGACACTGACAGACAGACGCTGCGGTGTCAACAGCAACACTGAGACTATATTTGGAGGGAGGTGGCCGGTGTTTAGATTGGATTACACCTGACAACCTGAATTATAAGAGGTTGATAATCTCAACCCACACATAGATCACTTTGTTTCTCAACACTCTGCAACACGACTGTAGCTGGATCTAACTGGAGTGCATACAAGTCAGTGCTACATAGGAGTGGAGGTGGCCTCCTGTGTCCACAGTTCATGCTGGGTTGTCTGCACAGTCAACTCTGTCTCCAAGATATTGTCTTTATTGAAACATTTTACATAAAATGTTTTAATGTTATTGTAACTACGGTTCAGGAACAAGACCACGCCTCACTCACACATCCTACCACCTGTGAATACCTTAATAAGTGTATATTTGTCTCTCTTTCCCTGACCCCCTGAGCTTTTGGCCATCGCCATCCTCCCTGTGTTTGTGTGGGTGCTCCAGTGTCCTCCCACCATCAGAGACGTGAGTTAGGGTTAATACTTCAATCTAAGGATTTCCTCTTTTTCTTTTTCTATTATAGGAACCACTGGGGGATAACGAAGCCATAAGCCTGCTCTAGTTACATCACGACTCCAATCTGCTCATCCCAGTGGAATCGACCCCCTTTGGTCGCTCTCCTCAACCCTCAATAAATAGCCTCTGGCTGGGCTGTTGTTGCTACTCAGGCTCGTAGTGAATGTGTGCAGCAAATAGTGTCTCATCATGGATGAAGCTTTGGCGCCCTCTAATGGAGCAAAGATAAACTGCTTAATGTTTATAAAAACCACAGATAACATTTTTATGGTCTGTAAAAAATTTATTTGCAATTACAATAAAGACATGTGACAAGTTTAAATGGGAAATATTAACAACATGTACATATAAAAATATTATTTTTTTGTCAGTAGCATCAAAGTTTGTTTTATTTTATTTCAAAAATACTTTTACAGAGAACCTGGCAGTGATTGGCTTATCACTCACACACACACACACACACACACACACACACACACACACACACACACACACACACAGTAGGATCTGGGTCTGGACGGTCCTTAAAGGTTTCAGAGAACAGGTTTTACTTTCAGTCTATGAAGTCCTGCAGTAGAAACAGAGAAAATGGCAGTGTTACACATCTGTGTTTTTCATCTGTGTTTTTCATCTGTGTTTTTCCTTCTTCATATTTCAGAGGGAAATATTGTACTTCTTACTCCACCCGCAAAACGGTATAAAAAATTTATTTGTTGGGTTGCTTCTTTTGCCAGTGTGACTAAACCCGACTCTTCTTCAGTTATTTTATTTTGATACCTGTGTACATTCACTAAAAACCGAGAGAGCACGACTTTCACTTGACACTTTGTTGGTACGTTGGTACAACTTCTACTCAAGTAAAAGATGTATAAACTGCTGGTAATAATCCTTTTACACAATCTGAAGACGTACGGTGTTTGGGGTCTTACTCCATTATACCAGCGTTGCTGAGGTAAACGTCGGTGAAGGGCAGGGAGTTGGTCTGGTCTGCGTGTGGACTGCCGGTCTGCTGGATAAACTGCTGCAGATTACACTGTCTCAGCTCCTTATTCAGCTCCTCAATCATCTGATATCTGTCCTAGAGGATGCAGCGAGTTATTATATTATATAATTATTATATACATATTTTATTATATATACCCTTCCAAGCATGAAGGATAAACGGCATGTATACTCATTATAGGCTTATTTACAAGGTAAAACTACTTTCCTGCCATAAATACCAGTGTGTACATGTAAATCTGAATAAAAAAAGGAGAAAGTTATTATAAGTTAAAGCATTTTTGTAAAATAATGGTTTTCATTATGCCAAATTTTAGGGTTTGCTGCAGCCCCCTCAGTTCCCCTACTTCCAGAGCCAATGGTTGCAGACTGAAACTCTCCTTTCAAGAGCGAATGAGAAACTACTGTGGGCACGAAACGAGCAAAAAGGGGGAAAAATGCTGAACCAGTGTTTGGTTTGTCTGTTCTGGGCTAATGTAGAAACATGGCAGACTCCATGGAAGGCGACCTGCAGTGTCTGTAGATAAAAATGTCTCATTCTAAGGTAACGAAAACACAAGAAATCTTATTTTCAGCTGATTATACACTAATGAAAACATACCTGTAAATATTATATTAAATTATATTCTGTAAATGCCAACTAAATATTACACTGACTAAGCTGACACAAAAAGTGAAGATGTGACTTATATTGATATTGTTAGTAAGATAGTTCTTCAGCATACGACAATTTAACATGAGATAACCATCTCCAAAAATTACATTCATGTGTATCAGAAAATATTTTTGAAAATATCTTTAGTAGGATATGAATGAAAATATTAATAATGTATTTTATATATAAATACTACCATACACTGTGTGACGTGGTGACTATTTGTGGTTAATGTGCCAAAGCTAATATGTTAGCTCGAGTTTTCTTCATTCAATCAAAGCTCAGCTCCATCAGGACTGTTTGCTGTTGATCAAAAGAGCAAATTTGCGTGTCAAAGCTCACCGAAGTTGAACTCTACACACATTACACATTTAGATGACGGAGGAGTTATACCTGTAGCTTTTCCTCTGCAGCTCGCAGCTCCCTCTGTGTCTCTGTCAGCATTGCATCCAGTTCTTCTCCCTGCTGCCGGCGGTGGTGGAGCTCCTGCTTCAGGGGCTCCAGGGCCTCATCCGGCTGCCGAGGGCCCGCCCGAGTGCTGTTCCTGTGGGCTATGAGTTTTAGGTCCTGTTCTAGATGTGCAGACCGGGCTCGGAGATCTCTGATCTGATAGCTGTGATCCTCCACTGATGAGTGTATCTGGTGTAGACGTTTGTGCATTTCTGTTGATGATAGTGTTAACATTTATAGATTTATAGAGAGAGGAAGAAGTCACTAGCCAAAAAATGTAGAAAACATAAAGAGATTTGAACACGTACCTTGTTCTCTGTCCATCTCCTCCTGCAGCTGGTCCTCCCAGTGCTCCGGGTGCATCAGTTCTGCCTCGTTCTGCCTCAGCCGCCGCTCCAGCTCCTCCAGTTGTCCTGCGGGGACCAGACTGGGAGCTGGAGCAGATAAAGTCTCCTGCTCTCTCACCTCTGTCTCTCTCTCCAGAGCTTGAAGCTGGATCTCCAGGTCCTGTAGCCTCCTCTGTTGCTGCAGAATCTGCCTGAACGCCTCCTCTTTGGCTGAGGAAGAGAGGGGGTCTAGGAAAGAGACTGGGGAAGCTCTCGGTTCTGGGGAGGCTCGGGGCGACGGAGACCAGGCCCTGTTTTGTTTAGTCCTCCTGGGAAATGTTGAGGGACCCAGACTGAAGGTGAGAGCCTTCTGTGGCTCCTTACGTTTAAGGGGCTCTGGTTCTGAGGGTCTGGGCAGGGGAAGATGTCTCTCTCTGGAGAGTGTGTCTGGACCGTCACTGAGGCTGGGACCGGTCCTCCGCAGAACGAACTGGACCTCCGCACCCAGCTGGCCCAGCTGAGCCAGATGCTGGAGAGGACAGTCGTCAGCAACTAGCTGTCTCTCGGTCCCACGTAGCTTTAAGATGAGAATGTAACGACCCGTCTGACCTGTGGAAAATACAGAGACATGAGGGATAATAATTAATATTAATAATTATTAAGGATTAAAAACAGCATTCTCTATTACAACTAACAAACCAGTGAATGTGGTCTCAACATTTTCAGGATGTCTTGTATTGTATGTTAAAAGAAAATAAGAGGCGTTAACTGTAAAATAAAGATGGCAAATTCCTTAACAAATTGCTGCAAGAACCCTTTATATTTGCATAGTGGTGTATCATAAAGTAAAATGCTAATACTGCAATACCAAACTGTAGGACAAAATGAAGATAAAGATGGAACTTTTTCCTATGGTGGCACCAGAGAAAAGAATGTAGATTCATTTCGAATCAAGGTTTGTTCCATTGGATCCTCATTAAATCCTATCAGTCTTCATTCAAAGATTTACATGAAAAACATCTTGAAGCTGTTTGTTTGGGGATGTGGATGAGCCTGTGCTGAATGAAAAATTGACACTTACCAATTGCTTGTGCGAGAGCTATGACGACATCCTGGCAGGAAGTGGTCAGCGATAGGCCGCAGACCACTCTGACCACACCATCCACCCACACCTTCAGCTCCATCGCTCACCTTCAGACACTGCCAGCAGAGAGCCGAGGTTAGCAGAACTTTAAGAAATATGGAATATAATAAATGTAATTATAAAGCTGCCCCATATAAGCTAAAACAAGATGATGGGAGACATGACAACATGTAACCTGAAACCATGTAAAATGAGCGATATATTCATGTATCTCTGGTTGAACTGGACCTTGTTGGGAATATTGAAGACATTCTGCAACAATTTGATTAAGTATCAACAGCGCATTTTACTCTGTATTCAAAATTGTAGAAATATCTAGAAAATGTCCTTAAAATACTAAAAACTCTTCCCGCTCAGTACTCATAATGTTATTTACTGAGTGTATGTGGTGTTCTGTCTCTTTAGGAGCAGCTAACAGTGCACAATAGAGAGCGTGGATGCTAATTAACAAGTGTGGAAAAAGATAAAAACAGGGAGAAGAAAGTGTTAACAGTTGTAACTCTTTTTCTTTATAATGTCAGGAGACATTTTGGGTTCCTCTGGTGTGTCTTTGTTGCTGAATGCTGTTGTTTGGTTGAGTTCAAGCAGACTTTAATGTGTTAAAGAGGTATGTGATGCTAGTTAGTAAGGTTATTTTTTATGTGTTAGTTTTTCAAACCAAATGTGAAGTAAACCTGTCAGTAAGTTAAATAAATTGTGAAGCTAGCTAACTTTACACAGGGTGGTTGCTCAGCTGTTAGCGGCCCTATCAGAGAGTGCAGATTAAATTCACACTTTATGTTAGTGGATATAATCAAATATCAGGTAAGATATCTGTATCTGAGATTACAGCAAATAAAATAAAGGTGAAAATGTGTGAGATAATTTAGACTGTTATTCTTCTATTGTATTGGGAACTGATTCCGGAAAGATAAGTTCAATTTTAAATCATTTATGTGTGAGCGCCACTTATAAATCTACAAAATCTGCCCAAACATGCTTTCTGTGCATTTTTCTAACAATAAATATACTGAATTTATGGTTTTCTATATTTCTGTCCATGTGTACTGGATTATGGTAAATTACTGCACGTGAAAATGTGTTTTCATTGTTACTTGTTGCCATATTTTGTTAATTGCGTCCTGTATAGGGTTAAGATTCAGGTCGACTAACCCTTTAACAACATGTTAATGCCCCTGTGCAGATATTGCCTGAATAACCACAATAAATAATGTTGGTAGTAAACAATTTTGCTAACATTTCATGTGTAAACCCCCCCCCCCCCCCAAAAAAAAAAAAAACTCTGATTACAATATTTTTTTTTTCTAATCGAAAACATGTATTTGTTCATAGAAAAGGAAAATTAGCATTTTGTCGTGTAGAGAATAAAATGCACTATTGTTCCTCTCGTGGGACTAAAACTTCCTCACCCGCGGTTTCCATAATATAATCCTCCTGTAACCTTCCTCCTGGGTGAGAGTGAAAGTTGAGCCTGATAGTGAGGAGTAATTTATCATTTTCTCATGGTTTCAGTCTTCAGGTGGCTGAACCAACACCAAACACACAGTTTGAGGGATTTACATACTGAATTTCACAGGAGAAAGAGTTAGTGTCAGACTTTGTGATTAAAGAAAGACCAACAACAGCCTGTTTGAAAGCAGCCGACACATCAGTAAATGCTTCATACGGTTGTCTCCTTCCCGTTTACATCCAGTAGCAGGAGTGATGATCTGGAGAGACCAGTTCTGGCTTTCAACTATGTGAAGGTATTTCTGTAAAGCCTAAAGGCAGAATATACAACAATGTATATATTCATACAATATAATCCCTCTCTGTCCTCACTGATGACCCATTAAAGTGTTCGTTGGTGTGTCTGTGTCTGCAGAGACCCTGCAGCCCTTGGCCTGTATTTACTGCTGCCTTCAGGACGTTTCTTGGTGTCAACCTTGGGTCAGTGGGTGTGGAGCCCCCGAGCAATATTATGGTACGAGGTGTGAGGGAGGGACTCTATAACAACGCAGTCACCAGGTAGCAGATCATAAGCATGAATCTAAGAGGAGACTAACGTATCCTACTCATTCTGCCTCTGAAGACAAAGGTGGAGAGCGACAGGATACATTTATTTATGATTTGCACTTGTATTATACTTTCAGTTTTTACAAAATGTGCCACTGTACATTCAGTATTAGATCCTAAAATAAGAATAACTGGGGAAAGATGGAGACCATGCACTCTTTGAACAGAAACAGCACACAGTAGATCCACTGTTAAAACTGTAATGATTAACCAAGTACATATGTTTTTAAGTTCCAGTCAGCAGAAACTAACTGATAATCACTTCAGATAATTCAGTTTCTAACCAAGCACTAACTAAAGTGATCCTATTACGTTATCTCCAGCGTACAGCACATTTCAAATGTAGTTTTTAAGTTAAATACAACATAAGTAGAATTGTGAACATGATGATGGATGCTCCGGATGTTTTACAGATTATGTTAAAGCACCCAGAACCTTCAGTCTCTTTGTGGAAACAGAAATGCTGAGCTGGCAGAAAGTGTGTTGCCATGAGGCCTTTCAATAAGTTCACTACACACTGAAATTGATCATGTGTGTTGGTCCTGTTATTAGCTTAGCTTTAAATTTCAACAGTTACTGAGATGTATGCAATGTTATAATAATCAATGCAACACAAATACACAAGTTTTAGTTTTCCTCTAATGAAGTTAAAGTCTATATTTTCCCAATGATTTACCCTCAATAGTAAAACATCAGAGCCATGATTAACTCAGACTGGAAGACTGAAAGTCCAAAACCCACCTGGAGACAATAATTACAATAATTAACCAGGAAAAAGAACTAAACTTCTATTAAATATAATAATTTACATACACATGTACATAACCTCAGCATAGCCTCCTAAGTGAACATCCTGTCCGACTGAACTTCAGAACTTCCTGTATTGGGGCAGTTTGTAAGTTCCTCACAGGTAAACAGGTGTCTGACGGTGGAGTGAGTGAAGCTTTGTGTCTGTGTGGTTGAACAGTGTTTGCAGGAGAAGACACACAGGTTTGCAGAGTGCAGGAATGTGGCAGAACACGCTGACATTCCTGGAGTACTCAGACTCCACCCACACATACCTCCTCTCTCTGTTTACTAACCTCCACTCTTCATGGTCGCTGTCAGTATCGCCGTCAGTCTGACTTTCTGTAGAAACTACACTTCCTTCAAAGCTTTACTTTAAAACACTCACTATCAAAAAAATGTGTTCTTCATTTGGATAATCAGGAATTTCAGCCATCTTTAGAATATCTGTTATGTCACAGTGCTTTTTCCTAATAGTTAAATATATTTGAGAAGCTTTTTATTCATGAATGAAAAAACATTTCTCAATTGAAAAATAATAGAAGTGTTAAACTTCTAAATCAACAGTATTTAAATTATCAACTTGCGCAGTTTTATTTGGAAATTTTGTTCTTGAAACTATATACTTTTTTAAGTTTTAATCATCTACATTATAAATGTATGTCATTCTATGCAGTGCAACTCAGGTTAACCAAAAAGTATAACTTCTAAACTGACTGAATTATAGGAAAGCTTTTATGTAAATGTTTATTTTCAGTTTGAGTTTATCTGCAGCTTCTCCTGGGTTTCTCTTTGGCTTGTATTGAGCTGAGCGTGAACTGTTTTTAAGCTAATGAAAGTATTCTGACAGATAAGCAAAGATGCTCTGATGCTATCATGTACAATATAATAATGATCATAAACTCAGACAAATTAACTTTAAGAAGAAAGCCTTTGCAGGGTAGATTTAAATTAAGACAGTTCAACTGCTGTAATGTATACATTAATACAAAAATCACAAATGAAAACATTCCCCTCTTGAAGAACTAACTCATTCTGATTATTTACGATCCAATAATCACCAGGTTCACCAGAGCGCAGAGGAATTTAAACACACTCACCTGTTAGTTCAAGTTTCTGTCAGTCTCACTGGACCTTGTTCTTTCTCAATGTTGTGTGTTCAGGCTGGTGGGCGGCTGTGAACCCAACACTCACCTACGGACAGTTCAGCCACAGGGGAGGAGGAGGAGGAGGAGGAGTGAAGCTGTGGAATGCAGCCTTTCTGGATGCTCTGCATTAAAGGTGATGTCACACTGAAAGTGGTGGGAGGTCATGAAGAACAATTTTTTTCTTTCGTCCACTTTCACTTCAGAGTGAAATATTCTACCTCTTACTGTTCCGCATGTATCTGTAGTGCTGAACTTACTCTGCACATTTAGGTTTTAGTTGAGGTTTAGATAAAATACTGCAAATGTCATCTCTTTCTTTCTTTCTTTCTTTCTTACATCTTTCTTTGTTCTTTCCATTCCTTCATGAAAATCTCCAAAACTGGAAATACAAAGTTTTAACCTAATAAAAATAAAGATAAATTCAGTAAATATTTGTTTAATGTCACTGAACAAAAGTTTTGAACACCTGACCTTTATTTGACAGCAAAGTGCAGCTCAGCCCCAATTAATGCAAAGGTCTGTGACTTTGAGTGATGGAGTTACTCTATTGGTTGCTTGAGTGATGGAGTTTCCCCATTGGCCGTTGCTCTTTCAAAATGAAGAGGCGCGTTCGACACAAGAGGTGAGAGAGAGATGATGTCACTTTAGGCATGCGATTCCTCGTGGCGGGGACACTGCGTAAACATGAACAAAGCTTTATAGTAAGCTGCTGGCACAGCTGAGGACTGAAGATGTCTGAATTCATTGAACAGAACACTTTGTCTGTCCCTCCAAGGTAAGTGAAATGCTTCAATATCTTCAGACAGAACTGCTGGTAAGCTACACAACATTAAGAGGAGAAAGTGTAAATAATTATCTTTATTTAGTCCGTAGCTTTACCCAAAAATCAGAGATGGGGACTCGAGTTTGCGACTCGGATTCGAGTCACACGAGTCGCACGCACAGAGACTTCAGACTTGACTTGGACTCGTGCTCAAAAGACTTCAGACTCCACTTGGACTCGTGTTTTGGGACTCGTGAACAATCATTATGTTTTCTTGGCGTATTAATGTTGAGGAAACTCTGAAACGTCTGACGAGCTTAATGTGATTGCTTCCTTTTTTTCATGGTTACCATGGTAATGGATACCATGGTAACCATGTTAAGCGTTGGGTGCGCGCCTCGCGGCTTCACATACTAACTGTTAGTACCTTGAAGACGACTATGGCGACCGGCGGCACACCTCCATTTGTAATTAAATTTAGTTATAAAAACTTTAAACAGGACGGCCCCAACAAAAGGAGCGCTGACTGCAAAGTCTGCAGTACCCGAATAAAATGATTACATGTACGACAAAATGCTAAGGACATAGTCTAACTCACTTACTTACTCGAGTAAGATTAGGACAACTTCAATACTCTTTGCAACCTGAAATCAACAACTATGTGGAGGCAAGACCAATCGTTCTCCAACACAACGCAACCACAGTAATTATCAAGACAATCAGTTCTCACACAAACAGCACGAAACCAGTAACCATAATGCAAAAAACAGGAAACTATGCCAGAATCCGGTGAGTATCATCAATGCATATCATTAAACAGAGAAAAGACGAGGGAGAAAACACGCAGCATAAGAGCATGATATATCAACAACACAGTATATAAACACTAACCAACACAATCTCGAAATCTGAGATCATCAATACATTATATATTGATAGATAAATGCATTCACAAATATCATAAGAGCGAAAATTCTTAGATGGAACAATAAAAAATAACAAAACTAAATCTATCCCATTCAAAATCATATATATACTGGTAAAATACGTAATCAACCACAACATCAATAAATCGAAACGACAAACAAGGAATCATTCATACTAATGTGATTCTGAAATAATAAAGAACCACACACACCATTGAGTACAATATTAATAATAGCGAGTAATCCGGAATTGGTAAAAATAACATAAAACACATCAATCAATAAAAAAAACCAACCGATATGAGGTGATTACCATCATTCTTATGAACATTAATCACACATCTAACACTAAATACACTTAATTAGAATCGTAATAAGTATAACATACGAACAAGACTTGCACACTAAGGCTGTTTATTGACGAACACTAATAAATGGTAAAAAAGTGAAATGAAAAGTATGATTGAGATTGGTAGATTGAAAAGATAACAGGAAAGAAAAATAGGAGTTATTGTGTAATGAAGGGTAGAAAAAGAAGCAATGGAAAATTTAGAAAATAAAAAGGATAGTTAAGTAATTTAGTGGAATATGGAAGTTAGATAAAGAATAAGATATGTAAAGGTAAATTAAAATTAGATTGAGACTAGATTTGAAATGAGTGAATGTTAGTTTGATTGTAGAAATTGTTTGATTAAAGGTTTTAAGTGAGTTTGAAATAGAAGTAAAAAAAAAAAGGGAGGGTAGAGTTAATAATATAAGTAAATTATCAAAAGTTAATGGATAAAGTTAAAGTAGAAAATAAGAGTTATAATGAGGAATTAAAGGAAGTAGGTTAATTGTTGAAAAAGTAAATAATGTTAAAGGTTTAAAAGGTTAAAATTAAATGAGTTTGAGTGAGAGATAGAGGAATGTTGTAATTAAGTAGAAAAAGTGTAATTAAAAATAAGGTTGAAGAGTGGAAAAATTTAAATTTTTTGTAAATGGAAAATGGATAGAATAGTGAATGTTGAAATGTTTAAGAAAATAAATAGATTTAATTGTTATTTTGGAGAGTGAAATAAAGTAAAAGAAATTGAATGAATTAAAGAATATGAATGGTGTTAATTTTTTAAAGAAAGATGTAGATAAATATAAATGAGATTGGATGATTAGTTATTATTGAATATTAATGTTAAAAATGAAGTTAGTATATATATTTTTTTTTAGAAAAATATATATAATAAGAAATAAAAGATTGATATATTGAATGAAAATTAGTTTAGATAAAGTTATTATATAAGAAAAATGTGGTTTAAAGATTGTTTTGAATAAAAATAAAAATGTTAGATTATATAATAAGATATTATTAATATAGATTAAAAGACTAGTTTTAAATGTTGTTTATATAAAGTTTTTGAATTAAAAAGAGTGAAAAAAGTGGAAAGTGAAGTAAGAGGGAAAGAGAGAATTGAATATTTATTAATAAAAATAGGTGTGAAGATATAAAGAAAGGGAAAAAGGCAGAAGGAAATTAATGAATAATAATTACAGGATATAATAATTTCATAAAATGAATTAATGTATTTGATGAAAAGATAGTTAAAGAATTTAATGTAAGTGGTGAGGAGAGATAATGAGAATGTAAGTAGAAGAAGTAAAGAAGTATGAGTGAGATAGAGACAGAAAAGAGTAAAAGATAAAATAAAGATAGAAAGAAAGAATGTGTATGTGAAATGTTGATATTTGGATGAAGAAGCAATGAGTGGATTTTTAGGTAAAAGAAAATTAATGGAGATAGAGGAAAAAAAAGAATGAAGAAAATTAATATTAAGTTGTGGAAAGATTTAAGGGTAAAAAATGGAGAAAAAATAAGTGAGAAATTTGAGGAGATATGTGAAAAATTTAAATTATATGTGAAAAAGAGTAAAATATGTGGAAAGAATTAAGTTTTGTTTAAAATAATGAAAAAAAATGAGAGTGAAGATGTTTGAAGAAAACGGAAAAAGGAAAATTATGGGAGGGAAGTGAAATTTACAGGATGATGTGGAAAATATAAAGAGAAGATGCAGTCAAAAGAGAATAAAGTGTTTTGAAGAATTCATTAAGATTTTTGTGAGAGATGGAATGAAAGAGAATAAGATTATTGATAGCGAAATGGAAAAAGTTACAAAATTCTGCAGTCTACTTCATTCCACCTGTAGGCTGAAGGAAGCATTCGAGAGAGAGTATGGAGCCAATCGCAGCATCCCCTCTGCCATATCAACCCGATGGAATACGACTCTCCGCCTTGTTGAGGCAATCACTGACCTGGATCCTCAAAGCCTGAACACTCTTCTGGAAGCCCAAGGACATAAAGGCCTGTGCTTATCAGCAAGAGAACTGAGTCAGCTGAAAGAGCTTGTGGACATTTTGGCCCCATTTCTTCAAGCAACAGACCTCACACAAGGGGAGAAGGTGGTGACTCTAAGTGCGGCTCTGCCTTGCGTTCTCTCACTCAACAGCCACCTCAACAGTATGCTGAATACAACTCGGCATCTGGACGGTTTTGTGAAAGCTCTCCAGAAGTCACTGCAACGCCGTTTCCGGGGGATCTTTGCAAATGTCAGAATGGATGACTCAGCTCAACCTGCAGGAGAACTTCCATTTGGACATATGGTCTATATGATGTCTGCACTACTCGACCCATCAGAACAGATGTCCTCGCACCAGATGAAGTCAAGAGTGAGGTGAAGAAGATGATAATAGGTAGGTGAATGCACACCATTTCCAAACACATTATCATCACATTATTATCATTCAGGGCTTGAAGTTTTTAGGCACCAAATTAATGCTTAATTCAATACATTATATATAATTCCTCCTCCTCCCAACTTTTCAGGCACACAAATCTTTTCTCGCTTTCAATAACATCAGTAAAATCTCATTCAGACTTACTTCATTAATTTAACCATCACCACTGTGAGTAGTGTATATCAATCAACATCATAATATTGTAACTAACCATGATTTTTGTGCAACTTTTTTAGACCTTGTCTTGGCAGAGGCTCGGAAAGTCACCATACTTGCTGAGAGCAGTAGTGGAGAGGATGATAAGGATGAGCCACCTGCTAAAACTCCACGCCTTTTCACTGGCTACAGGAAGAAAAGCGACTTGATACTTGACTTGGACTTGCAAAAAAAGACTTGTGAACATCTCTGCCGTAGATAGACCGTGACAGAATGTGTGTTCACCTAACAGAAGCACTTGTAATGTAGTTCATCTGACATCTACTGCGGTGAATAGGATTGTAGAAGTGAACACTATTACAGCCGCTGCTGATTCATGCATGCTTACAGGAAGCAGTTAGGATGAAAACCAGTTGGAATATAACACTGCTAACTGAGATGGCAGGAAATGCTATGGTGAGAAAGTGGAAAGAATTTCAGTGACACTGACCTTGTTTGTACTCGTCCAAGTCATCCTGATTTCAGAGAGAAAGTACCATAACTGCTAAGTCTGTGTGTATCATTTATTATTATTTGTTTAAGAGTTTGTCGGGAGCAAGACTTGTTACTACTTAGTATTTAGACTTCTCTTGTAACAGCAGCTACAGCCACGTGTTGATTATTAAAAAGGCATACAGTCTAATAGAAAGACACAATGCTGCTGCATTATAGGTTACTATATTGTATAAATTACAGGGCTTGGAGTGTGAGCCTTTCAGCTGAAACACCAATATACTACCATGTGTACTATGTTTAATATAATGCTTTCATGATGTGTAATGTCCCTTTTGTTTCTGCAGCCATGGTGTTGTATCTGTTGCACCAGAAAGTCCTGCAGTGAGATCAGTGGTTACGTGCACAAGAAGACCCTGAAAAAATGTCAACAAACAAACTTCAAACAACTTGATCATGTTCTCGGTAATTGTCACCCCTTTCCTAACAATCTAAGAACTATATCATAATATCCAATAAACAAGTCAAATCAGCATCTTAAGATGTGAATGGAGAGTATTGTTTTTGCATTTAAAACTCAAATGTAGCTCCATGTCATGTGATATGCTACTTCAGTACACAGAGAACAAATATAACTGGCAGCACGATGGAAACTTGAACATTTATTATCCAGCAGTTCACATTATAAACACTACCACCCATACACAGTGCCGCCATATACTGAACAGTCTTCTTACTGTAGTAAAAGGTCTGAGTACTTCTTCCACGACTGCCTGTGTCTCTCTGAACAGTGATGTCACTGTGACACTGAAACCAGGCCCCTCCCACTGTGAGTAAAAGATAAAACCTCAGAGGAGTGGCTCTCTTCCATCCTGTTCTTTCTCCAAATATCCAGCATTCCACTCTGTAAGTTTTCGTGTACACGTTTGTGTATGTGCGAGTTGACTTTGTGCTGAGGATTAACTACTCTGCTCAGCTGGTTTCAGCCCCGTTTAATTACAGCAGCAAACAGAGACAAGCAGACACAAACACACAGATGTCACTGTGTTAGGATACTGTTGCATTGGATGGTGGCTGCACCTCAACTGCAAAATGTGAATGAAATAAGTTCACTGCAAAGTTTCACCTCTCATTACTGTCACTTCAAACTCCTACTGAGAGTAGAATAAAAATCACTGGATGTAGAGGTTGGAAGTCTAAATGTCCTGTTAGACATTAATTAACATAAAACCAGAGCTGGAACCAATGATCCTTTTTATTATCGATTAGTCTGCAGATTATGTTCTCAATTAATCAATTAAATGGTGTCTCCGTAAAAAGTGTAAATTACACATCATAATATTCTTTTTTTTTTACAGCTAAGATAGTCTGATGCTAAGTGACACAGCAACAGCTAATTGTTAAACTTCCAAGTAAACACAAAGAAGATCCTCTTAGGAAAGTGACACATGGCCATCATTGATGTTATTTCTTCAGGTTGTGAATGGTGCTGTGTCCATCTGGTCATTAAAGCCACTCAAGTCTAAAGCGAGTAAGAATTTTATTTAGAAGCCAGCCTCTCTCTTTTTAATCTCATTGTACATGTGTATAGTGACACTAAAGGCATTCTATTCTAATCTATTCTGTAATGGTTTTGCTAAAACAAATGCTGACTGTTTTTGTTGAAAAGATTAGAGTAATGTGTTGATGTATTTTGCAGTGTGTTGTAATTGTCGTCTTTTAGTCCTGTGTTTGAATGCTATTTGGTCTGGAGAGCATTATGTGCTTCTGGCCTGAATATTCAATGTGGACTTCATGTGATTGGAGTGCCCCCTTGTGGCTGTGGTGTGGGGTGTTAGAAAGAAAGATTGTATTTGCTTTAAACAAGTAAGCATATCAGTGATTGGACGTGGGGTGATGATTGGTCTGCAGCACCCCCTGCTGGACTGAACACTATATGAGTAGTGGAGTTTCAAAAATACCTCTCTCAATACCCTGGCCACCCAGAGTAAACGAATAATGGACAGAGAAAGATCTGGAGGAGGCGTAGCTTCCCCAGAATCCCTTCCCTCAAAGATAAAAAATATACAAGTCTATAAAGTCCTTCTTCCTGCCTGTAAATGTAAACTACACACTCTTGTCTTCCGTCCCCTTTGTCCACTTGCTGTGATAAATTGCAGCCACTAAGTTCTGCGTTCAAATTGTTGCAATTTGAGCAAATTAATATACTGTCACATCCAAAGAAAAACATGCCTGTGCTTCTACAAGAGAGGATGTTCAGGGTCCAGAATTAACCTTTTGGCTTATATGCCAATAGAATGTAAAAACATCAGCCACATTTTTTTTTACCAGCCATAAAACTGCATCATGCATTATTTCACTATAATTGGTGGCCAGTACACATATAAAACACAGCAATGTTAAACTGGCTTCATGCTGAGATTCCAAATGATCTACTGCCCTGTGACCCCAATTTATATTTCCACTAAACCCAAAATTGACCCGCATTTGGAGGGCGTTAATTTTGGACACTGTGACATTTGTAAGTCACAAAGTTATAAGTGGTGAGAGACTGCCATTGAGATAAATTAACACTGGAGAGTGGCAGTCATGGTTATTGAATAAAGCACCCCCATCTTCCATCATTTTCCAACACGTATGGAGTTATTACTGTGATTCTGAAAAGTTGCAAAGGAATTTCAATCACATAAGATAAGATAAGATAAGATAAGATATTCCTTTATTTGTCCCACAATGGGGAAATTCCGGTGTTAAGTGGATAGAGAAAAAGAATAATAAATAAAAAACACTGTACAAGAGAAAGAAAAAGTAAGATCACAGCACAGCATAGACACAACAGATAAACGCAAAAAAGACACTTACAATATGTATTATATAATATGAGAGCAGCAGTTTACAGTGAAATATTGCAACTTGTTATGGGGGGGGGTCTACGGGAGCAGTATACTGTTGTTGATATAGTCTGACAGCAGCAGGAAGGAAAGACCTACGAAATCTCTCTTCACACCCATTTGGCTGAAGGTAGTCTGTCATGAATGGAGCTGCCCCCTCAGGTGCAGTGATGGTGTCCTGCATGGGGTTGGGAGACATTTGTCGCATCAGTGATGATAGCTTGCTATCATCCTCCTCTCCTCCCACCACCTGCACTGAGTCGAGGGGGCAACCCAGGACAGCGAGCTGGCCTCTTGATCAGTTTGTCGAGTCTCTTCCCTGTCGACTGCGAGATGCTGTTGCTCAGCTCCAGCAGACCACTCCAAAGAAAATGGCTGATGCCACAACAGTGTCAAAGAAGGTCCTCAGATCAACATCTTTCCAAAAAGTTAGTATGGATAATCTACAGAAAAAATATAAAACTGGTCTATATTAGGGTAGTAGAAAGCAGTTCTACTGTCGATAGTCCTGAGTACATTTCTGGGATTACCTTTATTAGTATAGTAATTTCCAAACCTTTTATTTAAATTGAAATTCCATTAATCTCCATTTATTGTATTTTTGTGGTGGCAGAAAACTCAATTAGAGAGATTCCTAAATATATATTTCTGTGAATCAGTTATAATTGTATACAATGCAAACTAACTGTTTTGTAATAACACATATCCCATGATGCAATTCCCAATGGTGATAAAGGCACTACTGACAGTAGTGCAATGCCTCTGGTTACAGCATGAAAAATGAAAAACATATCAAATTTGAAATTGACAGTTGTGACTTCAAGCTATTTTTATATTTATTTCAAAACCTTTTTGACATGATCTTTGCACATGTATCGTCATGATTACTGCATTATACACAGAACTTTACTGTTTGTCAACATGAAAAAAAAGAAAAAAGAAACATTTGTAGTCAACTAAAATGAGTTCAGAAAATGTTAAAATATAGGACATATATTCCATCTTTTTGACTTCCTGGTACAGTAGCTTGTTTTACTCATCAGCTGTCTGAAAAGAAATACTCAACATAATCACAGTTCAGATAAAAGGATGCCACTGTATCACCTGCTGTTGGCTTGTTTAGATCATATTTACACATCAGCAACAAAGTCAGTTACATCAACATAAACATTTCCTTATTTACTTACTTTTATCAAATACACATCAAAATATACAAATGTTTTGTATGTAACTATATGAAATAAAATATCAAAAATACTGAAGAAGATTGATGACATAGTTAAACACCTGTTTCACATGGCTGTTGTACTTCAACAGCATCATTATCTCTAGTTATTATGGACAGAGCTGTGTATGAACTCTGAAATCCTCAAAAAACAAAACAAAAAAGATTATTAAAAAAACAATTAGAACATGTTTTAGGTCAGAGGTCTGTTTTTACTCGTTTTAACTTCTCTGTTCTCTTGAACTTCTCAATCATTAACAACATTAATTCTGTGTTCATCTGTTTTTATTCATGAAAAAAAAAACTGGCATCTACACATATACATTTCAGCTAGTGCTGATCTATTTACTCTCCAAGCAAACATCAGTAAGACTTTGCAAGAAATGCTGAGAAATAAAACTATATAAATGAAAACAGTGACACATAATACAAACCATAATCTCATCACATGGTCTGTGTACAAAGAAGGTACATTAGTTAATATGTTTAATAAAAAATCGTAATTAAAATGGATGAAAGAAGAAGAAGTTGCATAATTGATTCTTTGTTGTATGTTCAACTTAGAATAATTGGTGAAAAAAAAAAACAAAGCAAGTCATGATCCTTTGATTTTGCAAAAAACAGCTAGATATTGCTGACATTATAAAACATCTCTTTTTTTCCCACTTGGTCTTTATAGCCATATATACATGAACAAAGAAAAAATAAAAGAGAGAGTTGTAATCAAAAAGCAAAAACATCTCTTTTCATGCTGTTTTTGAGGTACATATTATTTCAGCATCATGATTGTGCACACTAATCATATATACCTGCTATATGCTAGCAACTTGAAAAAACGAAAAACAATTCTAATTATCACAAACAAAACAAAACAAAAAAAATAAAGAGAAAAAAATCTCTTTTTAAAAATTACCTTTCTAGTATGTCATAATTGTCTTCATCATTGTCATAAACAGCCGTCATTATGTAAAAACTGCATATTTAAAATTGTGTTCTGATGCTTTCTTGAAGGATTGTACATTGTTCACTTTATGTTAAAGGCATCTTTTAATCCTTTCAGTGCTTGTTCCTTTGTGATTCTCCTCCAGGCCTCTGGAACATCAGCTGGATTGGCTTTGTATTCTTGAGCAAATCTGTCATTGTATTGTACCAGGACATACTTCCAGTAGTCAGATGCCTCTATGGTGGGGTCAGGAGGAATGTTCCAGTCTGGATAGTACGTGGTGTACTCCTTGTAAGGATGCCACTCCCCTTTAGTGTCTGCATTATTGAATTTACGTTCAGTGTGCACCTGAGTTGTACACAGTGTTTCATTGAGCTTCTGAGTTTTTATGTACATAACCCCTCTAAGACCTTGTGGCCGATGAATGGCTGCGTGATGTGTCTTGTGTTCTTTGCCTCCAGCCTCACAAGGAACTTTACAAAATGGACACTGATGTCCACAGCCAAACACCCTCTTGAAAAGCTCATCTTGTGGTTTGATTGGAAGTTTGTTCAGAGTCTCAGTGATGTCTTCAGAGTTTGAGAATTCGTCCTGTAGCTGTTCTTTCAGTCCACTCAATGATTTAATGAGGCTCTTTGTAAATGGATGGAGGGTGCTTTGGATTTGAAACAGGGTGGTTTTTTCAGCCTCCACTGAAATTGAGATGTCTTTGTTCAAATATTTGTGCATGTTGTTGATGAGCTCTGTGATACTTTCCTTGTTATCTGGCAGCAGAACACCGTCCTCTCCTTTTGAGGCCCGTTCTATTGCTTCTGTTATTTTGTGAACGATGACCTCCAGATTCTTGTTCTTCAGTTTGCACCAAGTTGTGTCCTCTGGCATGTTTTGCAGGATGTGCTGAAATATCCAATCCTTGACATATATTTCGTACTTAGAAATGTACTTGAAAAATCTGTCAAAGTCTTCCTTTTGCAGCAACTCTTCCTGAATGTTGTACTGGAAAAAGGAGCGGGAACTGTACTCTGCTGAATGGCAACTGGTCAGAATTTCATCCACAATGTCTACTCCCAGAGATCTACTGATGTACTCTTCAACAGCAGGTTTGATACAGAATCTGACAAAATCAGTTGCTTTGCGTTGGCAATGATCTCTCTGTTTGTATAAATCGATAAAGTCTGACAAGTACTGAGGCTTGCACTTCTCTAGTTGAATTCGAGGATCAATGTCTGACAAAAAATGTTGGTGCATTTTAAGGAATTCCCTTGAGGCAATGCCACAAATGTGAAGTTTCAGATCAATCTCAAACTGTGTATTTGTTTGGTAGCGCACGTAGCTCTGTTTAAGGTATTCATCTATTTTTTCAAGAAGATCCCTTGTGAAGGATTCATGGTAATCTCCATTTGTTTTTGCTTTATCAAGAACAAACTGTATGGAAATCTCAATGACACTGTCTGCAAAGTTCTGTAAATCTCGGTCCCACATATATTGAATCCTCTTCTTAAAGGAGTCTATATGATCACTTCTTGTCTTGAACTGATCCTTCCAAATTTGCTTTAATTCGTCAGTGTTTTGAAATTTTGTCATTTACATTCCGATTTGAGAAATTTTTTCTCAGTTGGTTGAGAATGCATGCAGGTATATCCCGTTCTTTCAGGCCAGGTACATTTTCAGTTGCTTTAAGCCACATCTTTTCAAACTCTTGTTTCAGCTGTTCATCTGACAGTGTGGAGTCTTTGCAGTCAGTCAGGAGCTTCATCACCCGCTCTTCAATCTCACCTCTGTATTGGCTCTGTATCTCCTGAGCCTTTTTTGAACCTATTTTTATCTCGAGGATACAGTCCAATTTAGTGCAGGCAGAATGTTTGATTTCATTTGCAAGACTGTTGATACTGTTGAGAAAGTCATTCTTATATTTTTCTATCAAATTTACATGTCTGTTATTTCTTTTGTAGTAATCCTGAAGTTTTTGCTTCATTATTGCTTGTTGGTCTGTTATTTTGTCTGACACCTTTGATTTTTTTGATGCAACCAATATGTTCCAGGTTTCTCCCTGAGAGTCATTGTCAGCATTTAAGATTTCTAACTCTGCTTTTGTCTGCCAGGCAAGAATCTCTTTTCTGAACTCCCATTCCCATTGACTGAACTCTTTGCAAAGGTTGTCATACGCATGAGCCACAAGAGTATTTCTGAAACTAAAGATGAAGTTCTCATATTTTACTGCTTTCCAGAGACTTCTCATCCATTCTAGAAACTCTGGGATCTGCGAAACATTATCGCTTCTGTCTCTTTTCACCGTCTCCAAAAGATTTTTCTTGAGATCTGCTACAGCTTCACTGTAACCTGTGTTCACTGGTGCCATTGGTGGGGTCCCATGCCAGAGTCCTGGGATGTTCCAGTTGTTTTTTTCTATGTCATAGTCCAGCACATCTGTGAATGCCTTTATAGAAGGCTGCTTTTCCATTTCAGCTGCAATTTGTGTCATTTCATTAAGTTGGTCCAAGAGATGTTTTCTTTCTGTCATGGTCTTTGCATGAGCAGAAACTCCAGCAACATTCTGGTGAACAAAATGACAAACTGTCTTTTTGCCAATTTTCTTCATTCTCAGGAATGCATGAGTTGCAATTTGTAGGACATCTTTCATTTCTGTTGAGTTCTCCATTGCAATGTTGATTATGGTAATGTCACTTAAGCCAATGACAAAGGTTGCTAGCTGGTTGTCGTGCTCATAACTGGCCCCTAGTTGTGCCAGATCAGGAGATTTTAGACCCTCTGTGTCAATGAGAAGGATAAAATCAAAGTTCAAGTCACTTTGTGTATCCTTTTCAACTTTGAGGAAGAGCATGAAAGCTCCTCTTGTGCACCTGCCACTGCTGACAGGAAACTGCACTCCAAACATGGTGTTGAGGAGTGTTGACTTTCCACTACTTTGAACACCCAACACAGTCAGTACCAACAGTCTGCTCTTCTCCCCAACCTTCTTGTGAAGCTCCATTAGCACATCTGTCACCCATCTCTCTGGGATGTTTGAAGCATCTCCATCCAAGAGCTCTAAATGATATCCATCCAACAGCATGTCAGCAGCCAAAGCAGGAAGATGAGACATTTTGTCTTCTGACTGCAAGGAAAACTCATAGACCAGTCCCATCTCTCTCATGTAATGCTCTATTCCCTAAGAGCTATCCAATAAAGCCTGATCCAACTCTGCAGTGAGTTTTGCATCTTTCTTCTTGCATTGCTCTTTAAATTTGTTGCGCAGCACAGCAAGTTTGTACCGAGAATGTGTGTTAAACTTGAATTTCATGTACTTAAGGAAAAAATCTCTTTTCTCTTTGTCAGTTGTGAATAAGGCTTCAATGAAACTCTTCATTCCTTTGGAGAGTTTCTTTTTGCTTTGCTCTTCGCTAATTTTTTGTTTTTCTGCCTGAAGCTGAGATTTATACTCTTCAAGCCCTGAGACACCAGCGTCTTTCATCCTACATTCTTCCTTCTCTAACTGTGATAACCTTTTCCAGTTTTCTCCTTGCAAAGGAAGTTGTTGTTTCTTGTACTGCGGTATACTTCGCACCCCAATGCCGTCCATGATCTCCTCAGTTACTTTCTTTTGTTCTGCAGTTTTGCTTTCGTCCACAGAGAGACCAAGTTCAACAGCTTTCTCAACCATGTTTTCAATGCTGGTTTTGGTTGTCACATCTGTCAGTGATTTCTTGATGGCTGCAACAATTTTGTTTGAAAACTCTGCTACATTCAACCTTGAGTCTTTGGTTTTGACACTGGTCTTTGGTAAATCTAATGCTTTCTGTATTGTATTGACAGACTTCTTGTCCTCACTAAAATTCCCCTCCTTGCAGTTAACAACTAAGAACAGTTTTGATTTCACATCTTGAAGAGAAGTCAGACTCTTATGTTCATTTTCTTCAACTTTGTCCATGAATACAAAGGTAGCAGTTGACACTTGAAAAAGAAAACTGAATTGTGTGAGTGATTCACAAATGTCTCCTCTCAGATTAGCAAAGGCAACTGGCTCTGGAAATATGTCAAGATTTTCTCTGCCAGAAGGAAGGTACCAGCAAACCTCAACCAACCCACTGCCAATGTTTCTTTTAAGTGCTCCTCCTTTCATTTCTCTGTGTATGAACATGTTCTGATTCTGCTGGCCATGGCTGAGAATATGATTCAAAACCTGGGACTTGGATAAACTACAGTTTTTCAGCCTCACAAAGGAATAGAATGGTATATCTGCTTGGGCAATATTGTCTTCAACAAACCCTCTTGATTCAGACAGATCATGTGGACGCCACTCTTTGACAATGTCCCTCAGAGCCCACAGCATCAGCGTACTCTGACTCTTATTTCCATGGGGCAACAGCAGTGGGACAGAAAACTGGCACATTGACATCTTGAGGGCCATTTCCTGTTGCAAGAAGCTGTCAGCACAGAGGAAGAGTGCTACTATGAGGTCCAGAGGGTTAACCCCATTGTCTTCAGAGTCATCTAAAGTGTTTAGTTCCAAGCCAAAAAGATCAATCTTCACCCAATCATCATCATCTTCATCTTCATCATCATAATTGTTAAATGATTGTGTACAGGTCCTGCATTCAGCATTTTTTTCGAATAGTTTTCTGAGAAAGCACCATGGTATTTCCTCCACTGATACATTTTCAGTGGCTTCTTCAGATATGCTATTTCTGTTGATTTCCAAGAGAGACTGAAGAGAGAGCTTGTTGGGATAAAAATTGTTCAGTCCAAGTTTGGACATGAACTTGGGAAGTACTGTCAAAGAGAAAGAGAAGATCTTTTTAGAAGAAACAAAAGGGATATTGCTAATGGCATGGGACAGGGTGAGTTTCCCAACCTTATTAATAACGTGTTAACTGAGATGCACAGCTTTTTTCGTGTTACTCTTTTACATTTGAAGGGGTTTCTTTGATAGCGTTAAGAGGAAATACAGGTCCTAATTAATTTTCCCTTAAGTGTTACTCACCATTGTGTGTACTGTATCCTTGAGGTCTACACTAATAATGGTCAAAAACACCACAGGGTGCTTTTAATGCTGTACTTTAGTGTCCTCCTGACAAAACGCTATGATCTGTCCTTGGAAAAGATTTGGTGACAACTGGATGCATCGTGTTGGCTAGTGTCTGTGCTTTTGTGCGGGAACTTTTCACCTGCACTTTATGCAGGCACTTCAGGCTCCTCAAAGTATAAAGTGCTATCATTTGTTTATCATGTATGTGACAGTGAATGGACAGTGTGTAACATTTAATAGAATCGTATGGTGTAGTTGCAGATGGCAACTCACTGATTTTACCCCACACACGAAAACATGAACGATATAATCTAGAATCACTGTTTGGTTTGTTCGTTCTGGGCTACTGTAGAAACATGGCAGCCTCCACGGAAGGCAACCCACATCGTCTGTAGATACAGTTAGTCAAGAAGTACTTGACTAAGTATAGGTAATTGATTGTAATATATTTGGGTGAACATTCAAGTTCAAATTCAAGTACAAAACAATAAAATGGTTCCAGCAGCATATTACATTTCATTAATCATTTGATACACCACAATAATAGCTTTCTACATTTATCTTGTATTTTCCTCTCTGAGTTTGTACAAAGACAAATGTATCACCTTTATATGTTATTAGTAAACTGACTGGCAAACCCCAAAAATGATTACAGCTCTTTCAACAAAATATGAACAATAACATGGATAAAGATACCATATATTGTTCAATATGTTTTTGGTTCAGCTTGGAAAATAAAGGAAAATGCAACATTTTGTTATTTATTTAGAAAAATTTAAAACATTAACACAGTGGCTTATTGGCCACAACTATGACTGATAAAACTGATCAACAGGGGCGGCCGGTTAGCTCAGTTGGTAGAGCTGGCGACCCATGTTAAGCTGATTCCTTGCTGCAGCGGCCCAGTTTGAATCAACTGTGGCCCTTTGGGCTGTGTTGTACGGTGCCGCCTGCTCTCTCTGCCCATTTCGCGCTGTCTGTCTTCAGCTGTCACTGATAAATAAAGGCCAATAAAAAAGAGTCGAAAAGTACTTAAGAAAAACTGTCAACAGATGATGGGAGGTGTTGAGTCTTTTGTAATTAATGATGAGAATAGTTGTACTTATTATATAGTTAATATTATAATATTATACTTAGTAATTCTTAAGATCGGAGATCCCCCCCCCGCCCCGCTCCCCCGCCCCCCCCCCCCCAGCCCCTACCCTCCCGCCCCGCCCCCCCCTGTAGGACACAATCAAACTCAGATCAGTCTCAACAACTCTCCATGGCTAAACAATATCTTTAGTGTAACTTGATCTGAAGACAAGTTAGTGCAACTTTCGAACTGTAAAGTACGTTGACAACTTTAGTGAGGTAAGTAATGTGCAATAGTAGACTGGAGGAAAGAGTCAGACGCTAATATAAAAGCAGGCCAGAATGGTTCC